TCTCCAGTACGAGATATTTTTGAGAAATTGGTCAATAACTGCCAACAATATTTTGTCCCGAGTGATTTCTTGACTTTGTTGTTGCTTTCCGAGGACGTTGCCCTTTTAGACAATATATACCAAATAAACATGCAAAGTATAGGATAAAAATATTTTTATTAACTGACACAAAGGTACCTTCTACCCACCATATGGAATTATACGCAGGTGCTCAGCTAGATGGTACTTGTGCACAATCACACAAAGTTGTGGACATTGTGCAACGAATGCTTACCCCATTGGATGGTTTAGGTTGTAACGTCACAATGTGCAATAGTTCACGAATATACCTTAACGCTTAGAGCTCTTGGATAGCAAAATTATTGTCGTAGGCACTGTGAAGAAAAATAGCCCACGAATTCCCGAAGAATCCAAAATCACAAGAAACAGAAGCGAAAACAGTTCCATTTTTGGCAAATACTTACTTAGGTACTTTAGTATCTTACATGCCAAAACCAAAGAAAGTGGTGCTTATGTACTCCATTATGTACTATGATGATCATATCGATTTACAAACAGCAGAGAAACGTAAGGCGGAAATAATAACTTTACAACTATACCAAATATGGCGTGAACATTGTGGACAAAATGTGTAGTACTTATGACGTCTCAAGAAACTGGTCACTTACTATTTTTTTTTGATCTAATGAATATAAGTGCTATAAACGGTTATATTATAGCTACAATAAACAAGGACTATAGAAATAAGGCCAGGAAGGATTATTTATATAAACTTGGTTGCCATGCATACAGCGCAGAATAAATATTGAAAGTATTCCAAAATCATTCAAAAAGAAAGAGAAAATGCTTTTGGGTATGAATGAGCCATCTGAATTACAACCATGCCCAGCACAGCACAGTCGCGTTGGGAAATGTTCCTTTTGTGGCAGAGCACGCAATAAGTCCACCAGAAAACAATGTCACACCTGTAAAAAGTGGATTCGTCCTCAACATCAGGTTCTTCAATGTCTGGAATTGTAAAAACGATGAAGACTGTGTGGAAGATACGAGCGAGTAAAAAAAGTAGACTGTGAAGGTATGACGCCAAAAAAGAATTGATTTTTTTCAAAATTCAAAAGAAGTCTGATGTTAAGTGACTAATAAATATTAACAGTTATGTTTAGTCTGTTTTAGTTTCTTATTAAAGTTTATTTTCATATGATATTGAAGTATTTTATATTTGTTTATTGTTCCTGTAAAATCTTTACATAAAATAGTCCTATATATGTAGAGTGCGCGAGCACTCGTGGCCTAAATAGGGGCGCGGGTAGTGGAGTGTTAACGTAATCGGTTTCAGAAACTGCATAAGAGGCTGGTAATCGTATACCCAGTTTCGTGAACAAAAATGTAACGATTATTTTACGTACGCAGTTGACACTCAAACAACGACCGGCGCGCGTTTCGTTTTGAACAGATTATTATTAAGATGATTATAGGTACGTAATTAGAAGTGGACGATGCAAACCGTATACTGATACGAAATCTATATATTGGTACAATATCTAAAAAACCGCTTACTGGTTCGTTTCAAAACTATATATTACAAAATCTGATATTTGCGTACCGCCGCGATGCCTATATCGTTTCGCATCGGTCAAAATGTCGAGTATGTGGTGACCTGTACAGTTACAAGGAAGGGATCCACGGGAAATTTAAAAGCCCACTTGAAGAAGAGGCACTTGGATGCATACACTCGGGTGGTAACTGCTCAGCAGCAAGCAAGGTCTGCACCGCTGCTGAACTGCCTGTCTCGGTGGTAGCAACATCTGCCACTACAGCATTAGCGATCTGTGCCACAACAGAACTGTCAACTTCTACCTTCACTCCCACTACTGCAAAGTCATCTATTGTAAGGCACCAGATACAGAAACAGTCTACCATGGAGAGCTATGGTATCTTTTGAATTTATTTATTGATAGTTATCAGCCCTTTTCACTACTGGAAGAAAAATCTTTTAAAAAATTTGCGAGCTGGATCCCGGGATATCAGCTTCCAAGTCGGAAAACTATATCTCAGACTATGATACCGAATCTCTACAATGACACAAAAGAAAAAATAAAAAATTAGTTAATCTCCTCAAATGTACAAAAGATTTGGCTGACGGCTGATTTGTAGACATCCGGAATAAATGACTCGTACTTGGCAGTTACGTATCATTATTTAACGGAGGATATAGTCCTCAAGACAGTGTTCTTTGATTGTTGCCATTTTGAAAATGCGCACACTACTGAAAACATCTAGCGTGCTTTGCGAGAGTTGACCGAACAGTGGTCAATAAAAGATAAAATTAATTTTATGGTCACGGACAATGCAGCCAATATTCAAAAAGCTGTGGTGAACTTGAAATGGAAGCACTACGGGTGTACGTTAAAATTAATCGTTCAAGATACCATGCGGTCAGCGGCTTGCGCACAATCACTTGACAAGGTAAAAAAATAGTTCGGTTTTTTAAGACCAGCACTACAGCGCCGGAGAAACTTTTAAAGGCACAGACTGACAATGTGCCAAAGCGTTTAGTACAAGAAGTCCCCACACGCTGGAATTCCACGTTCCATACGATACAACGTTTTGTGGAATTGGAACAATATATAAGAGCCACAGTAGTGGTCTTAAAAAAGGACCTACCTATCATTTCTAATGAGGAATGGATATTTCTAAGTGAGCTGTGCCAAATTTTGAAGCCTTTTCATGAGGCAACTCAATAAATAAGCGCTGAAAATTATATGACAGCAGGATCAGTTATTGTTACAACTCGTTGTTTAGTCACAGCGTGTGACAAATTGTTAGCTGAAGACTTTTCGGAACTTTCACAGTCGTGCATTTTCAGGTTGCGCATGGAGTTCATAACAAGATTTTATAACATTGAAAAAAGCGGAACATTTTCTGTGTGTACTGTTTTAGATCCACGCTATAAACTAGTCGTATTCGCAGATACTCATGACGCACGAATAGCCCGTAAATCGGTGTTAGATCTCTTGACAAATCTTATTGAAATTTTCGAAAAAGATAGACGGAATGTGCCTGAAGTCGAGATTCTGTGATTTCTTATATTTTATTGTATATCAGCATTTTGTGAAGTATAATTTTACTAGTTATATCTCTCTTAGTTTCTAGTTAACCACATATCCAGTCTCCGGCCGCAAAAATAAACAGTTTAAATATTATGGGTAAAACATCTTGTATGAGAATACGGTGGCCGGACTACAAGTAGTATTGCCAAGTCCACCGGCCCTTAAAACAACTAAGTGGCTGGATAACTGGCTATAGTTCTAGTCTCCGGCCATCCACTATCTATAGAAAAAATAAGTCTATAGAATCAGCGTGTCTGTCCGTACATTTAATAATATATATTTACTAAAAAGTGATTAGGAGCTATGAGGAACAACTATTATTTTTGATTGTTCGAAAACGCTTTTTCAAACAATTGAAAGAATCGAAAAGAATTTTCATGAAATTTCCAAAGGTTAATTAAACTTACTTTTGGCTTAATAACCTTTAACCTTTGTTTTAAATTTTGAGAAAATATATTTTGTACACACAAAGTTAGTTGTTTAATTTCTCAGGCCCCGACATTTTATAGGACAAACTTAGTCAGACCTATGGTCAAGCCAAAGAGTATAGTAGGTCAGGCCAAAGACATTTTTTTTAAGTGATGGTAAATATAACTTAGAGTGATTACGGTATTTTTACTTACCATGACATTATTGATGGATATTGCATTGTTTACCAAACGTCTAAGCTAAATACTTCTTATTGTCAATGAGTAAGTTTATTTTGTTAGAGATTATTTAAATATTAATAATTCTGTATTCTATATATTAAATATATAATTCTGTATTATATATATTAAATTTGTATTTGTTAGACGTTATTTAAATATTAATAATTAAATATTAATAAGTCTATTTGCCATAATATTGTACCTCAGTACTAGAAGTTTTTTGACTGTAATTTAAATTTAAATAAGATAGATATATTTTTCACTCATTCATTTATTCAATAAAGCCCATCAAAGTATACTGCTGAAACATTCCCTACAGACAGCTTCACAAGGGGGATTTTTGCCATAGTTGCCACGCTTGGCAGGTGGGTTCGCAATAGCATTGTTTTTTATTTTCTAATTATTTTTTATAATAAAAATTGTGCTGCCCATCTCCTGTGTTATCTAATCTAATGTGTTATTACTGTTTTAGAAAGCTGCAAAAATGACTGAACCGGCAAAAAAGTTGGTAGGTGTATTAAAACCAAAATCGCAAAAAACAAATTATAGCGATTAGACATTGCGTAAAACTTTACTAGATATACGCGAAGAAAAGGAAAGCATTCGATCTGCTTGTAGAAAACACGGGATACCGAGGTCTACTATTCAACACAGATTGCATTGTCGCGTAACCGATGGACCAAGAAGAATGGGACCTACTCCAGTTCTCGGATTAGATGGAGAAAAAAATTTCGCATTTCATAATTGAAATGGCAAAACGAGGATTTCCTTTGAACAAAACAGTATTAATTAAAACAGTAGAAAATATAGTAAAAGAATTAAATCTTAGAAACCCCTTTAAAGATGGTATACCAGGACAAAAGTGACTAAAGTCGTTTTTAAACAGGCATCCAGAAATTTCATTAAGAGTTCCGGAAAATATCAGCAAAGATAGAGCTTTAGTAACTGAAGCTACAATAAGGAATTGGTTTAAAAATCTTCGTAAATATTTAACAGAGGTGCCTCTGACGTTTTAAATGATGGTGACAGAATTTTTAACGGTGATGTGTCTGGATTTTCACTATGCCCTCAAACTGGGAAAGTTTTAGCTCCGAAGGGATATAAAAATGTGTATGAAGTAAAAGTGAGTAAAGAAAAAGAGAATATTACAGTTTTGGTAATATTTACTGCTAGTGGAAAGATTTGCCCCCCTCTTGTCATCTTTCCATATGTACGACCTCCTCGTTCAATAGTACAAAGCATGCCAAAAGATTGGGTGCTAGGCCGATCCGAAAGTGGCTGTATGCGTGGCGATATCTTTTTTGAATATATTTGTAACGATTTCAATAAATGGCGAATCGAGAACAAAATTAAAAAACCTGTGCTTCTGCTAGTAGATGGTCATAAATCTCATATGAAATTACCCTTGAGCGAGTTCTGTGAAAGTAACGGTATCATTTTATATACTTTGCCCCCACGAACGACGCACATCCTTCAACCTGCAGACGTGAGTGTGTTCAGGCTATTGAAGCAAGGTTGGAAGAATACTGTGAGGGAATTCCATTTTGAATCCGAAAATCCGTGGAACAGTGCAGTGACAGAAGCTAACTTTTGTCCCTTATTTGCAAAAGTAATAAATGCGTTTGATATGCCCCAACAGATAAAAAATGGATTCAAGAAATGTGGTTTGTTTCCCTTGGATGAAGAGGCTGTTGATTATACTAAATGTGATAATACTAAGCTTAGAAACCAGCGTTCATCTACTGGGATAACATCCACAGAAATAGATATTGCAATCAAAGTAATACAAGCAGCAAACCTTTATGCAAAACATGGAATTGATACAAATTTAATTTTAAGGGAATTAAATGATATGAAGTAAAAAACCGGACGACGCAAATCTACTCCTAAAAAAATAAGCTCCCAAAAATCTACACCTCAGTCCACAAATTCCCCCGGTGAAAACGTAAACATACCTGATACTCCTAAAGTTGGCTCGTATATGAGTGGTGTAATTTCAAAACCCCCTATAATGATTTTGTATACATTTTTACATTTTTGTATCAAAAGAAAATCTTGAAATTTCCTTTGCTATACACCATATGTTAATTTTCAAACTCCGCTAAAATACACAGTAAATTCAGTTTGAAAATCAACATTAGTTGAAAATGCCGCTAAAATATCGAGTGTTACTATCAAATTCCTCTAAAATGAAATCGACCAATCGGAGCGACGCATTGCAAACACGTGACTTGAAAAACAGTATGGCGATTTTGGTTGTGCTGATAGCAGTTGCTCGCGGTTTTTAATTAAAATTTACCAAAAAACATGGATGATCTAGCTCAATTTGTCAAAAAATGTGATCCTAAATACGCTCGGAAGCGTCCACGCAATCCAAAATCTTGGAAACGTGAAAAGGAGCGCCGAAAACGGTGAGTACAATCTTACCTATAACTTACTTAAAAAGTTCGTTAGAAAGTTTTATGCAACATGAAGTAATGTAGGTAAGTCTCGCAATTAGGAGACTCACTGGAATTAAGGAAAACATACCGTTTTGACATGAATGTTTACTGTTTTATGTTACTTTCTAAGTAAAGTAGATACTTACCTACTTAAAATAAAAAAAAGCGAAAATTTTGGACTTGGCGTTGCCATCTCTGCGGTTCCGGGATCGATTCCCGGTTGGGCCAATGTAGAAAACTTTTCTGTGTATTCTCTTCTCTGTATTTATTAGTAACTACTTAACAATAAATATTAATCAATTAATTAGTATTTTAACAAAAACACAGAGTTGGAGTGAACCTTATTTTGTTTTGAGTAGTATACCGGCTGGCTTTTTAAGCTGTCTAAAAAAATTGGGTATATAGGTAAATGAAATAGGTGTCAATGGCACATAGTTATTTAAACTTTTTACTTTAATATTTTTTATTTATTTTTGTTTGGGGTCTATTATTATTTATTTGTAAGTTATTTACTAAAAGAATGGGGAAAAATAATAATGAAAAGTTAATGAGTGCCATTGGCATCTATTTCAATTACCTATCATGTCTTTTTTCAGTAGCTAAAAAAGGTCAGCTCCCAAAATAATTCGTCAAGTATTACTATTCCCAAACTTTTATTGCTATTTTTGTTTTAGATACGAGCCAAAATCACTCCCGAAATTTCCTTCTTGCGACCATAATCAAAAAGCTTTTCGGTGCAACCTAGTTTCTTGTCAAGACATCCGAAAATTTCATAGAAATTTTTATAAATGTAAGACCAAAATCGATCAAGATAATTTTTTGTTAAGATATTGTCTTGTCAATCAAACCATAAAAAATAATCCAAACAGTAAACGGAAATTAACTATTAAGTACAATATACCTGTCAGTGGAGGTAGTCGAAAACCGGTATGTCAAAAAACATTTTTGGACTCGCTTCAAATAAAGAAAGATAGGGTTCAGGGGGTGATGAAACGTTTTTATTTGAGCGATGGTTCTCCATTAAAAGAAAATAGAGGAGGAGATAGGAAAAGTGAACAATATGAAGCGAAGAGGTTGTCAGTAGATTGGTTTTTGGAAAAATTTAAAGGGATCGAGAGTCACTATTGCAGATCGCAAACAAACAGAATTTATTTGCCATCAGGGTTGAATATTAGAAAGATGTGGCGGATGTACAACCAAGAAAGAGATGAGGATTTAAAAGTTAAGCAAAGTTTTTTTAGAAAAATTGTAAATAATTCGTACAACTTTGGTTTTGGGTCTCCCAGAACAGATGTATGTTCCACGTGCATTTCATTACAAGAACGCCTGAAAAATGAAAAAAGTCCTATAAAGAGAAATGAATTAATGATAGAAAAGAGGATCCACAGGTTAAAATACAAAGCTTTCTATAACATTATAAAAGAAGAAAATAAAGATATTTTAACAATTACATTTGATTGCCAAAAAAACCAACCGCTTCCGAAACTGCCCGATCAGTCGGCTTATTTTAGCAGGCAATTTAATTTCTACCATTTTGCCATAGTACAAGGAAATTCAAAAACAAAACTGACAAAGGAAAATGTGCGTTCCTATTATTGGACTGAGTTGAATCATGCTAAGGGCAGCAACCAAATTATTAGTGCAGTTTACCACTTCTTGCAAGGAACCGTTATAGAATCGCACGTGAAGGTACTAAGAGTAGTTTGTGATGGATGTTCCGGCCAAAATAAAAATACGGGAATGGTTAGCATGCTAGGTAAATGGTTGTATAGAGAAGCGCCTCGGAATGTGAAAAAAAATTGAGATAATTTTTCCAGTGGTAGGACACTCCTTCATTCCTCCCGATCGTGTTTTCGCTAAAATTGAGAGGACATTAAAAACCAAAGAAGTGGTTGTTACTCCTTCGGAATACACCGAAGTTTTGCAAGAAAATGGAACGTGCATCAATCTGGCAACGATACCAGTTTATGATTGGAAGGCAGCTTATGATCCCGTGATAAAACCTACATCATCCTGGCACTTTCCATTCATGAGGAGCAAACGATTTTTCCTTACTCGTACTAAAACAGAAAATATATTGGTGCAAGGGGAAGAAACTTACCGCAATGAAATTAATAAAAAAAAATTATAACAAAGAAAAACAAAAAAATAACAATGATTATACCACAAATGTTATCATCAAACACTATACTACCGAACGAAGCCAAAGTGAAAGATGTTTGTGATTTACTTCAAAAACATTTTGGTGGAGAATGGAGGGATTTGCCTCAACTAAAATATTATGTTGATATAGAAAATAAAACTTACATACCATCACATGGCATCGACAACATGAACAATGACTTATGTGAGCATGGTTTCCAAGACGTAACTGCACACATTTAATTTTTTTTTCTTTTTCAATAAACAAATTGTTCCCGCTCTTTGTTTTTAATTTGTACATTTTCATACATAGCTACATACAGTTAAGTGAGATTGTTTTCTAGGCTTCATAGCATAACACCATCCATCGAGCATTAAAGGTTAGTTGCAAAACCCTCTATAGGATGACAGTTAATTTTCAAAATCCATTATAATGACAGGTTGTCTGCAAATTCCTCCATAATAGAATTGAATTTTAAATTTTCTTGAAAATGCTCTTAAATATGAAAAGGTTTTTCACATTTATAAGGATTACAATACCGTAGCAACCAATTTATCATGAATTATTACCTTTCGCGTTAAATTAACTACAGTAAAATCAATAAAAACTTCTCGTACAAAACTTCCTAAAGTTAGTTTAGTGGGTTTTGAAATTACACCCCTCATATTACTTTAGACGATATTTCTGTTATCCCGCTTGATCTCGGTGACTCACAATCGATTATAACATGAAATATTTTAACAGACACTGAGATTGCCTCGATAAATTGTTCAGATTTGGGCTCAAATATTCAACTTATGCACACCAGTCACAATTCGAACAAACCACTTACAAATGAACACAATGATAATATATTATCTAACTGGAGGGACTTAAACGAACTTAATATTAGTTCTAAAGCTATTGACAGACAAATAGAAGTGATTTCAGAAAATTTTCAAACACCTCTCAATAGCACACGCAATAATATTGCGCCTCAGGTTCAAGACATTTAATTATTTTACAAAAGATACGCAAGTAGACTTAGATTACGAATCTATTGTTACTACAGCACAAATCCACGAAGAAAATACATTAGATAATCGACCCAGAATTAATGAACGTAATACTTGTCTTGAATCAAATTGTATAATCAGTGACAATGAAGATTAAATAGAACCAGCTGATAGCTCAAAAAACCCTTATATTATTACACAACTTATAGGTAGTGAAAATAGTGGTGAAGATAAATCAAACACGGAATTACAAGAAAATCGTAAACCACTTAAAGCGATCTATTCAAATAATCCATTTGTTAAACATTTAGCATACCCAAAAACAGAGACAAGCGATCTCAAGAAGCAAAGAGTGAGCGTTCAGCTTCCAAACGCAATTTCATCTGAGGCCTGGAGAAAACACTATGAAGTAAAAGAAAAACAAAAAAAGAGAAAGAAGAAGCTATATCTAAAAGAAAAATACTAAGGAAGGAAGCTAAAGAAAATAAAGAAAGAGAGAAAATGACGAAAAGTAAACGGATTACAGAGAAAAAGAATAAAACAAACGAACAAATTTATGATAGAAATACAAAAACTAAGGCCACAAAAAATGTAAAACGAAATTAAAAATTGGAAAGAATTTGACAAATCTGATGATTATTGTGCAATCTGCGGAAAAAGTTATTTTAATAGAAAAGGACCTAAAGTGGAATGGATACAGTGTGTAAGATGTCACAAGTGGTTACACGTCACTTGTAGTACCAATCCCGATATCTGCCCAAATTGTTTAAACGACTAAGTATGTATAGCTTTAAAAAGTATTCGTCATTTGTGGCTACCAAAATATTTGATAGAAAATCAAAAATTATACTAATATATATATATATATAATTATATATTATTAATGTGATTCCCAGAATTATTAAGTTAAGATGATAAATCTTAACTATTTATCCTTGCTTATTAAACTTGTTTTGAAAACTATACAGTAAGTAGGACATATCACAATAAATTCTTTTTATATTCCTACCTTGGTTTACACATGAAAAAGATGATTTTAATTTACTTTTTAATTTTTGTTATATCATTAACCTTTGCGATTGCAAATTTAAATACTTATATTTATAATTAGTATTTCTACTTAACTTTAAATACAACTTTAATATTTTTTCACTATAGCAGAATAAAAAAGACTGAATAAATTGTTAAATTGTATACTGGTGTTTTAATTTTTTAAACGCATATATAATTTCCTATAATTTTAATCTTAAGTAAAACCGTCGGCATAACTCGTTAAGAACCAATAATAAATTATATCAACATTCAATAATAACCCATATTTAAATATGTCGAGAGATCACTGTCCATTCACAACCCAATGTCCGGCCTTTTGGTTTCTGTTGAGTGGCCGGAGACTGGACATAAAATGGTCGGGCACTGGATTGGGCCGGCCGGACACTGGCGAAACCGTTCATTTCCGAAAATAATTTATTTCTAAAAAATCTGACAGCCTAAGCAATTTAAATCAGTTATAAATGTATGTTTAAGTAAATTTATGATTTAATGAAAATATATTCATGCACTCATTCCTCTGGAGAGCTTAGTTATAAGTGAAATAATTCAACTGACGACGAGGCCGGACACTGGGCATGTTACCCTATACATTAGTAAAAAGCTGTTATTTTGACAGTACAAACATACACTTCAATTTTATTTATTTGTAGGTATAGATTTATTGATAAATTTATAATTCGACATACGTTAAACAAGTGTAAGTAATATATTTTTTTATTCTTTGTTTTGTATTTATTCTAATTTAATTTAAAAGAAATTAAAATAAAATTAGGATTTTCAAATATTTCTTCTGTTCGCGTACCAGGCGATTTGCTAACTTATTTGTTCCATATAACGGGACCTACTGCACTAATACGAAAAAAATAAGAATTTGATCCTTCTTTTCCAAAGGAAATTCACTAAGTAAAGAGAGGGATAGATGTATGATTTTTACCCCTAATGGAGGCCATACACGCTAGGTTTTGCATGATGGTTTTAGCCGTGCATGCATAACCGACAGGCAAGCCCTAGCGTGTATGCGATTAAACTTTACAGTTATCGGTACATATACATGCAACCGAGCAAATATCGAAATTGATATTTTATACCGCACCTACCGTGTGTGGCATCCGGCGAGCTTGCCTGCCACAGTTCTTAGTTTTTAATTGTTTGCGACGGCGGAAGGTCGCCCGCGCGCATCATCGCGAAAATGGCGAGTCGCAAGCGCAATGCCACATTAGAAGAATTCATAGAAATTTATAAGTCGGAACCTTGTCTTTGGCGCGTAAAGTGCAAAGAATATCACGAAAGAGACAAACGATCGACAGCATACGAGAAATTGATAACTAAGCTCAAGGAATTGGAGCCAACTGCTACAAAAGATGATGTAATTAAAAAAATCTGCTAATAGAAATCGGTATTTGGCATCAACTATTGCCATAAGAACCATGCTATGTCGTCCTTTATAGTTGTAGTAATACTCGTAAGATCCACTATCAGCAGGTGGCACTATGTCTATGTGTTATCCATCTATGGCACCCAAGCAGTGAGGAAAATTCCATCTCTCTTCAAAAAGTTCTGCGGTTTCCTTCCATTTATCCGATGAATCTGGAAACTAAAATAAATATTATTTTGTTGTGTTATAGGATGCTGACAATTCGACTGAAAATACAATAGATACTACGGATAATGCTGCTGCAAATGTTAGTACAGGGAATACAGACGATATTAGGACACCTAAGAATACTCCATTACCTGCTACTAGACCGGGAAGAAAGAAAATGACAGAGCAAGATCACTTAACTACTGACATATTACTATCCGTGAAAGACTATTTTAAGCGTCCTGCTTCTGCTTCAGCAACAGAAGATCGCTACGATCTTGTGGAAAGATCTATCGCAATGAAATTAAAACCATTAGACAAGCGTCAACGCTTGATTGCGGAGAAGATAATTAATGACACCCTGTTCGATGCCGAGATGGGCAATCTGAATACCGGATCAATTCAGAATCGTCGAAGTTTAACTTTTATTTCTTTACCAACTCCTAGTTTCTCACGAACTCCAAGTCCTTCACCCTCAATAGTTCAACAATATTAAACACAACCGTATACTCATACCGCTTCTGTTGCGCCTCAAATACAACCCTGCGTATTGCCGATACAACAGTACAACACCCAACAACAAAGGTACACGATTTCCCCTGCACCGCAAAGTCAGCCCTGCACATCTCCAATTCAACAATATAACACTCAACAACAAACTACTTCTCCTGCACTACAACGTCAGCCCTCACCAGCACTACAAGAAGAATTTGACACACAACTAACAACAGCAACATTTTATTCAAATTTTAATTCACAAATGATTTAAATATGTAATTGGTTAATTAAAATATGTACCTACCTATTAAACTTGTCTAACGATTTGAATTTGGTTTTAATTATTTACTCACCTGCAGATAGTCCTCTTTTAGGGCTTCATAAATAGCATCGCATGTTTCTGGTATTATTCGGCCCAAAGCCTGAGGTGATATAATAGCAGAATATTTAAGACACTCGTATGTTCTTCCTGTTGCAAGAAATCTTAATGTTACTGCTAGTCTCTCATGTGCTGATATTGCTTTCCTCATAACAGTATCTTGTCTTTGTATTAACGGAGTAATCAATGATAATAGTTTCAAATAAATTTTTTCATCCATTCGTAAATAATTTTTGTAATCTGTAGGTGTAAGTCTCAATTAATTTATCAAATTTACGTGGGAGAATTGCTATCTTTTCAATATCCAGTGTTTAGACCATTCAGTGCGATCTCTTTTTCTTTTTCTGTTCTGCAGAACAAGTGTTAGGCCAAGTACAGCTATCACATCGTCGTCGTCCATTGTAGTTTGGTATTATTGGGTTCCTACACACACCGTCACGTAGCTTAACTGATAGTTCATGGCAAGACGGTGCATGCAAAACCTAACCTGTATGTGTAGTATGAAACTCGGTTATGCTTGTCGGTTTTGCATGCAAAGTTAAAACCATCATGCAAACCCTAGCGTGTGTGGCCGCCATAATGGTTGGCAGCTTTGTGTAACTAGACAGTTAATAAATCTTAGGTTCATTCCGCCACTTGCACGGTCGGCGCGCGCACGGTTCCACAACAACGAAAAAAATAGTGAGCACGTGTTGCGTTCGAGGTAAGTAGCTAGTGTTTTATTTATTTGTGGCAACTTTTTGATGTTATATTTACTAGATATATATGTATTTAACGTAATCTATACATTTGATTTATGTAATATAACAAAATCTTGTAAAAAAATAAGTGGTCGCTAACTAAAATAAAAATAATCTAATAATTTTAGTTTGCGGCTTGGTGGTCGCCAATTGACATTTAGAGTGAAAAACTATTTTTTTATATTTTAATAGCCTACAAGCCTAGTCTGGGATTTTATGGCTTTCTATTACGTTTGTTTATTTCTTGTTACATATCGTTTAGTTTACGACCACCCAATTGTATTATAAATTATGTAATTGACGATCTCAAAATGTATGGGGATTTTAAGCGTCGCCAACTAAAAGTGGCAAATTAATGTGTGGTTTTACAACCACTTGCATTTACCACTATATTTTTTGTAGATATAGGTGTTTAATATTTTATATTTTTATTACAGATGTCCTCTGAAAACTGTAATAGAATTAAAACTTTGGCTTATTCACAAACAGATCTGGAAAGTGCCTTATAAGATATAAGAGAAAGAGGACACGGTATTAGAGAAACATGTAAATAATATAACATCCCAAGATCTACAGTACAAGACAGACTAAGTGGCAAAAGGACTGATAAACTAAAAAATCCAGGACCCGAACTGGTTTTAGGGATATCCATGGAGAAAGAAGTCGTACAATGGATTATCAAAATTGCTAAATATGGTTTTCCTGTCAAAAAACAGGAACTACTAGACACTGTACAGAAGATTCTTAAAAACTATCAGAGACCTAATCCATTTAAAGATGATCGTCCTAGTCAGACCTGGTATTCAGGCTTTCTTAAAAGAAACCCAGAAATCTCAGTCCGGGCAGAAGAAAGCATAAACAAAGCTCGTGCACGTGTTACTGAAGAGCATATAAGGCAGTGGTTTCGAGAACTTGAAACATTCTTATCCGAATCAGGACAGTCAGATATTCTCACACAGCCTGATCGAATATTCAATGCTGATGAGAGTGGCTTTTCATTATGCCCCAAAACCGGAAACTTTCTTGGACCGAAAGGCTTTCAAAACCTGTACCAAGTAAATTCAGGGAACGAAAAGGATAATTTGACCGTTTTAGTTAATTTTAATGCCAAGGGACAAATATGTTCACCGGTCGTAGTTTTCCCATATTTACGTCCACCAAAAGCGATAACTGACAGTATGCCTCCGGAATGGATTTTGGGCAGAAGCGAATCCGGTTGGATGCGAAGCGAAATATTCTTTGAATACATAGTTAATGACTTTAATACTTGGGTTGAAAATAACAAAATACAGAAGCCCATTTTACTTCTTCTTGATGGCCATAAATCGCATATGTCGTTGGTGTTAAGTTCTATGTGTGAACAGTTAGGTGTACACGCCCTTAGCTGTTCCGACACAGGTCGACTATACAGGGGCCCATACAGCTGTAGACTCGACGGATAACTAAGGACGGGGCCCAAATGGCCTTATGGAGAGTTGACCTCTACGAGCACTTAACCATATAGAGACGTAATAGAAGGCGACCCGAACCTGTCAACTCGTCAGTGACTAGTCACTGATATATTTCGCAACACAAATGTGTTCCGTCAGTTACGACCAAAACCTAGAACCGAAGAGACGGCTTACATTTAAAACATAAATTACCTTAAATTTACGGCATCATGTCCTGTTGTGCCGTTAAATGGTGCGGAAACAACAGTAAAACATGTAGTGTAACTACAAACAATATTACTTTTCATAGGTAAGTCCATTTCTTTATTTTACCAAAATATTTTCAAAATTTTTATTAAGCAACGCGGGTCAAGTTAATCTGGACCGTCCCGTCAATTGTCACTCCCCGTCCTTTTTGCATTTACTGCAAACATGTGCGTCTATCTCTCGCTCTCTTGACGCCAATGACTAGTGCGGTGCGGTGCATTTATTTTGTATTGTCGATAATTACCCACAAAATGATTATTGTATTTAGATATCGTTTTTCTGTTAGATATTAGATATAGATAGATACATAATACACCGTTTATTATTTACTACTGTTATTTACTTTATTATATTAATTATAATTATTCTTTTCGTGTATGAGTTTTGGATAGGTATGATAACAATGTTATTTTATTTAAACTGTATGATTTTTTCCCTATAGGTTTCCAAAAGACGGTAATATGAAAAACAAATGGATAAATGTTATAAAAAGAGAAAATTGGTTCCCTTCAAAATATAGTGTCATGTGTTCGAAACATTTTACTGAGGATTGTTTTTTGATGACAAACAACAAGCGGCGACTAATGAGGAGTGCAGTACCTACGCTGTTTTTGCCTCCAACGGTTAGCAACAAAATGCATATTATGTAAATGCCTAATATTACGTACGTGTCTTAACCGACATAATCCCTTAATTTGAAATTGAAGTTGCTATGTAAAATAGGTATACATTTATATTTATAATGGTTTTAATCGTTATTCTAGATATTTTATCGTATTTTCTACCTTTTAGATGGATACATCAAACGAAGTAGCTGCGACTTTACTTCAAGAAAATGCATCAGAAATTGCTTCAAACTCACTTGTAGAAATTCAGCCGGCGGAACTTACTACACCAAAATCTAATAAAAGAAAAGAGACACCTTCTCAGTTTAATTCGCCAGTTAAAAAAGACTATGCAGACAGATTTTAGAGATATCTGAAAAACTTAACCATAAAAACAAGCAGTTAAAAAATTTAAGAGAAAAAAACAGATATTTAAAAAAAAGAGTTGCTTCCATGAAGAAAATAATTAAAGAACTTGAATCCAAAAATTTTGTTACAACTGAAAATACTAACATTTTAAATCAAATTGGCGTGTGCAATAAAGAACTAGTAAAACGACAGATAATGAAAAAAAAATCAGGCCACGTTTTGAGAAAAAAATATTCACCTGAACTTCGGTCATTCGCAATGACTCTTGCATTTTATTCGGCTAAAGCATATAAATATGTTAGGAGAACTTTTGACACGTGTCTGCCTTCATTGCGAACATTATCGAAGTGGTATCAAACTATAGAAGGGAAGCCAAGATTTACAAAAGAATCACTCATAGCGTTAAAGCACAGAGCTGAAATGAATTCCACTGATTTCATTGCTACACTTGCGTTTGATGAAATCAAGATTAAAAGTAAAGTCGAATTTGTCCAATCCAATCAACGCATCTTTGGATATGTCGATTTTGGTGGACAGTTAGATAGTGATTGCAACAACTTATGCACTGAAGCTTTAGTGTTATTAGTTGGCCCGATTAATGGTCGTTTTAAGGTACCTATTGGGTATTTCCTAGTTGACAAAACCAATGCAGAACAAAAACAAAATATAGTGCGACAAGCAATTGAATTGTGCCATGAGTCCAAAATAACAATCAAAGCACTTACATTTGATGGTTGTCCTGTTAATTTAGCAATGGCCAAACGGCTAGGCTGTAATCTTACCGCAGACAATATGAAAACATCATTTAAGCACCCGGTTACTGGAGCTAAAGGATTTATTTTCTTGGATCCTGTCCACATGTTGAAATTGGTTCGAAACGCTTTCGAACAATATAGAGAATTCAAGGACGAAAATGGAAATAGCTTAAAATGGGAGTATATTCAAAATTTACAAGAAATGCAAGATAAAGAACATTTTCACCTAGCAAATAAACTGCGTGCGAAGCATATACATTTTAAAACGGATATAATGAAGGTAAAATTGGCAAGTCAACTATTTAACCGCAGTGTGGCCACTGCTTTAAATTTTTGTGAAACGTCGCTAAGATTACCCGAATTTCAAGGGGTCAAGGCTACAGCTCGAATGGTGCTACTTATGAATGATCTTTTCGATATTCTTGATTCCAAAGTTCATGGTTATGGTTATAA